GTCAACAGGGCAGGCCATGTGGGGCCAGGGACACTGCTCTGATTAATTCCCACGAGCCAGCCTTGTCTCCACAGCCAGGCCACAGTGTCCTGAAGGGCCAGCCCAGGCCTCAGGCTTGGCGTATGGCCACCCCTGCCCACCTGGCCCAGGACTGGACACACTCACTGGCTGGCATCCACCTCGCCAGCTCCTCTCCCTAAAGCGTCCATGAAAACTTGCCTGCAGGGAGCAGCAAGGGGTGGAGAGCACTGTCGCCTGGGGATCAGGAGGCAAGTGTGGGGAGGTAAAGCGGTCCTCTGGGCCGAGACGGCCTGGGGGTAGAGTGGACTGAGCACACAGACCTGGGTTCCAGTTCCGCCTCGGCTCTCACTTCCTCATGGTCCCTGGGCAAGCCTCCCTGCCTTTCTGAAGCTCAGCCTCCTCATGTATAGAATGGGCAGACTGATCCCCACGCCCAGGGTGGTTATGAGGGCTAATGAGCCAGCACTGGGAAAATGCTCTGAACAGAAAGGAGCTACATAGATGCCTGCTGGTGAGGAGGGAGGGCTGACACTTGTTAAGCACCGACTTGATGCACATTAAGGAATCAATATTAATTAGCTCACCTAACAGATGGGACTCAGAGAGGGCAAAAACCTGCGCAGGTAATGCAGCTAGAAAGTGGTGGAGCTATGATTTGAACCCAGGTCCCTCTAAGCCTATTGTTCTTCCACTGCAGAGGGGCCTCTTGGTAGGGGGTCGGTGTTTGCCCAGAGGCAGTGTGTGACATGCCAGGTGGAGTTAGTTTCAGACCTCAGCCTTGTTACTCTGAGGCACTACTCACAAAAGCCCTGAGCCTTCAGGCTTGGCCCTCCTCCATCTGGTCCCCTCCTGCTGGTCTTCCCAGCTCAGCTCAGGGCCTCAGGGGAAGTTTCTAGTCCTGATGATGCCATTAGAAATCCACAGGGGTCCCTGCCCACCTGAGGGTCAGGGAGCCCAGCAACTCCCTGGTCAGAAGAGGGGCTGGCGCCAGAGCCCAGCTGGGGCCTAGCTGGGGTGGGGACCCCAGGAGAGGGGAAGGCGCCAGCTCATTAGATGGAAAAACAATGGGGTATGTCTAGGCCTGCTTCTCCTAGGCTCTGGAGCAGTGACACCTCCTCTTCCTCCTCTCCAACTAGGGCCAGGATTATGGGGAAGGCACATCAACCCTTCCCCCACCACACCCACTGTCCATTTCTCTGAAATCCACCTCTCAATTGCCGAACACCAGATAGGGGGCAAGAAGAGGGGCAGAGAGGAGCACTGACCAGGGTCTTGGGTACTTACTCCAGCAGGGACCCCCTCCCCACACACATGCAATATTCCTGGCTATTCCTGGGTCATCCAATCCAGACTCCCCCTCCCACAGCCCGGCCTAGAAGACTGAGCCTTCTGCACCTGCACACACCTGACAAAGTCAGTGCTTGTCCAAATCCAGAAGGTCCAGGCCATGCCAGGCCTGGAGTGAAGCACCTCTGGCCATGCAGGGCTGGGGGAGGGGCCCACGACTCCCTCCTTCCAGCACCAAGGTTGTCCGCGGACCCAAGAAACTCGGACCCGCAGGGCACCCCAGCCTGCTCCCATCTTTATGGGAGGCTTCAGACTGGGCACAGGCAAGCCTGCCTGCCTCCTCTGAGATCTCAGCCCAGATCCCAGGCCACGAAGTGGGGGAGAAGGCAGCCTTCACGCCCCCTCCTCCAATTTCAGCTCAGAATCTCCTCGCCTAGGACACGGAATGGCGGAGGGAGCTGGCTGCACCATGGATATGCGGAGGCTATCGGTCTGGACTTGAGGCTGAGGGGGGTCTGGGGGCTCTGTCCAGGGAAGAGACCCAGTCTCGAGGCTGCCCTCTCGTTCCCGGAGGTCCAGGTGTGTGTGCTGGGGACCGAGC